GTACGAGAAGCAAGATGCGATTAAATTACAGCATACACAGTGTATCTCATGATACAAAAATCCCGAAATTAAAATCCTCATTTGGTTACCAGAATTGTTTTATCATCCCCAAATGGGGATTTTTTTGGGGGATCGATTTGGGGACTTCAATTTGGGGCAAATGATAGTCATTCAAGAATCGAACTATTCTGAATTTATTTACTAGTGAACGAGTCTCTTATAATGATAATTATAAATGAAGCAAATATTGAAATCTTTATAGTAGTAAAATCTGACTTCACTTATATTCTACGTAATGACCACTGGTAGTTCTTCCAATTAACCTGAGTAAATGAATATGATTAAAATAAACACACTAAAGATAGAGGCACATTGCTACCTAAATAGGAGGGCTGCATGATATTCGCGGTTACCTGTATAATAACGGGTACATCATGATAAAGATAATTCGTTCAGGATTCCATAAATCTATTATTCATTTGTTGATGTTTTGATTTAACTTTATGTAAAATATATTGCTCGTATGTATAACGTTGGAACAAGAGCGCCTTGTATTCATACCCATATGAGTATTTGCAATCAACTAAAAAATCATCTTTTCGCAGTTGAAAATGATGTAATTTTGAAAACATTGATCATGCCAAAAACAGAGTATATCTGATTCTTATTCACAAATATTTACTCAAAACCAGGACATTCATATAAGGAAAAATCAAAGAATCCTAAAATGCATATGCCTCCATATGCATTTGCCTTCTTTATTAGCACGCTAAAGACATCAACTGGACAAAAAAATAACGGAGACAAACATACTCGTTCAGGTTATCTCCAATGAAACAAGCAAGCATATTTGAGTATATGTAGAGAATAATAAGGATATCAGAATAGATAGAGAAAGCTCTATCGGGGTAGATGATGTTTATGATATTGTATGGTTTTACAGGTCATGATAAGGAGCAAACGAACAAAAAAGAACACCTATTTAGTCGTACAGTTCAATGCAAAAAAGTAAAATAAGATCCGAATCAGATTATCTTCGCATATTTTGCAGATGACTGGTTATCATTGTCTCGGCTTTGTTTCTTCCTGCGGAAAGCTTGCCCAACAACATTATGTGCAATTAGAGCATTTACTGAATCCAAAGCATTATCTGGTTGTGGCAAATGTCCACATGTGGCTTCAGCGACTGTTATCGGTCTCTCAGGTTTCGGCCGACTAGCACGAACAAAGCCTGGATAGAATGTTAGTTCAACTGATCCAGTAATATTAATACATAGCTCTTGAATAACATTGAAATAGGCTACTGTTGTTGGATTGTGTAATCCACCCCGAAGTATGTCTTCGGCCAATTGAGCATTGAACCGAAATAGCTCTTGATGCATTCGAGGCGGTACACATGCAGCGCGCAATCGAGACATTGCTTCTCGCAATGCATCAACACCGGGCGTGAGATTCCATTCAATTTCGCCTTTGCCAGTTGGACGCGATTCAACAGACGCTTTCCAGGGAAGACCATATTCCACACCGATCTTGTTTAATTCTCCGACGAGTTTAACAAAATCCAATCGTTGCTCATCAATAGCCACCGGTCGTCCTTCTACGAAACTCAGCTGTACTTTTCGAGGCGACAGCATCAATGGAATATGAACAGGAAAGTCGTAATCTAGACAACTTCTATTACCATCTTCTTCTTCCTTCTTGAGAAATGTTTCGTCACCACTTGTACACGGATCATCTTTTCCAGATCGACTTGATAAATCATGACCGGTACATAGTCGAATAACATCGAGGCAATCTTGTCGTTTGAATATTTCTTCCCATGTAAATGTAGGTGACCATAGTGGTTTATTGCCAAGATATTCGTAAGCAGCTGTCATGAATCGTAGATTATTATTCTGATTCTTTGCTGATCCTGTAAGATAGACCTGGGCTTCAGGTAGCTCTTGTGCTAAAGCCTTGACCATGAGAATACGACTTAACGATGAGTTCGGGAAAATACCCGGTGATCCTGGCACTATAACATCACCCATGAGCAATGGAATAAAGTATTCGCCGAGTTCTACGCGCATGTCTTTAAACTTTGGATTGGATATACCAAACATAGACAAGTTTTGACGAATGTCACGTGCATCATCAGCAACTCCATCACTGTGAATTCCTCCAAAGTTTAGTGTAAGGCTCTGCACTTCAATATGAAAGAATTGACAGAGAATCAGTGGAATAAACGACGTATCAACACCACCACTGAGAAGACCGCCTATTATTTTGGCACCATGTGGATTAACAAGATCACGATGATAGAGTTCCATGACTTTCTCTTGAAGATCTGGCCTGGAATCCAATTTAGCCATCATACTTGAATCTGGTAACGTTGTTGTCTTGTTCGAAGATAACAAACGATGATAGGGTGAAACATCGGACGTTGGTTCAATTTTTCTCTTACGAAGATATCTTTTTTCATCGTGTGTTCCACCGTTTTCTTTTGAATTGTGATAGCAATCTTGACAATGCATGCTTGTTTTGGTATAGACGTATGAAGAGTAGTCGGCTGTTTTAGTAAGCAGTTGAGTACGAGAAATTATATTGAATTATAATATAAAAATGCTTATATTTTCACCTACTTTTATATGAGATATTGACATGGGAAAGAATGGGAAAAAAAACGCCATGCAATGAGTCAAACTATTAAAGTGTATCCCATTGGGTGAAATCGCTAAAAGACAAGTATTGCATAGAATGGGAAAAGCAAACAGGGAAATGTCGTCGCATTGAATTGGAAAAGTCGATCATCATATTTGTCCAATGAATATCGGCCGAATGAAAGTATGAAATAAAAATTATTTCATCTTATTTTTTATAATCTTATTATTATTAAATTCATAGTTCTTTTCTTTTAGTTTCAATGAAAAAACATAGTAGCTTTATCAATATAGCATTTTCAAAAGTAGAGAGAAAGAAAGTAATGTATAAAAGATTGGAAAGTTGCAATTGCAATGGCAAATCAATGAGCAAATTTCATATTTTCCATAGAACGAATCAAGTTACTCTCATTAACTTGATTAGAATCTGATGCTGTTCAACGTTCATTAATTACGATATCAACCGCACTGAACTGTCGTTTGACAAGCTTATTTAGAAAGCGTAGGAAAAACAGTTTGAATTTGTCGGTAAAATTCTAGTAGATTGTCGGTTAAAACTTCTTTTGCCAATATCCATTGATAAATATTGGCTAAGCTCATCGACTTTAGGTGTACGAAATGCATAAACTTCACTTCTTTTTAAAAATGATGCTATAATTTATTCGTAACATCCATCTTCTTATGTGAATTTTTGTACAATTTTTTCGGATACGTATGAAAGAAATGATACCGATAACATATACTAAACAGAAAACAAACATTCTGGAGAGACAGTCAAGACGAATCCACGTGTATTCTATTGCTTTTTCTTTTTTGTCTATTCTTCCATTGTCGTAAATGCTAATATTCTGTCTCTTTCTTCTATGTGAGCATCAATGCATATATATGCATAAGCATAGACCAGATTACATATTATACACGCCGTTATTTTGTAACTGTTGATATAACGATGTGGAGGATAACATTGGTATAGAGAATGTTTGTATATAGGCGACATCCTGTAACAGTACATCTTGAAGCCAACGACATCGTGCCAGAGCAAGAAATCGAACCTTCTGGCATCTAACTACAATCGAATGCATAGAACCACTGCGCTGTCCTTGGATTATAATCTTCACTTGCAGAGCTATCACATTCATTCATTAATAGTTCAAGATTGCTATCTTCATACTATTACCAGCTGATTTATTGCATCTTTCGATTCTTTTTCAGTAGTTGAAAATACCCTAGTACTGGAGTGGTTTTCAGCAGTGTATCTGAAAAGGTGCTTTAGCTACTAATATGTTACAGGAATTTGCTTGAGTACTTGCTCCAATATACTTGTAGAGTTGCAAATGCACTGTACATAAACGTTTTCAACAAAGTACTCCAATCAGCACCTAGAAATACCTTGAAGAAACGTGCTAAAGTACCTGTTACATACTTGCACCAGTGTGCCCAGCCAGGCTAGCAGGGTACCAAGGGTGTGGGTGTGGGTGTGGCTATATTCTTCAGCAGCATACACACCCATACCCATACCCATACACCCACACCCACCCACACCCACACCCTGATCACTTTAATTGCTGTTGGATTTATTTATATTCTCTCGAAAAAGACTGCAGCAAGGTTTGGATAAAAACATATGCTACTTGTTCGATTGAAACTATTTGATATTTTACTCTATTCTTTTAGAGTTGCAAGTGCAAGTACACAATCAGTTCATTCATCACCCATTGGTTTAAACAAAAATCCTGCTTGCAGTGAAAGTGACATAATCGATGCCTAAAAAAACTAGTTAAAATTCTTTTGAATTTAATTTCATTCTTTTGCAAACCAAATTGATTAATTCTGTTCTTTTTCAACTATTGAATGCCATTGATGCTAAATAACTAGACAAGAATATCTGTCAGATATACAGTACATAATGACGGTAAAGATGCAAGAATGGAAAAACTTTCTTCTAAAACAAAAGTGAAAGACTTCTCCTATAAATAGATGATCATTCGATAGATTAAAGTATGAATAGAATAGAAAATCCCATAGATGTTCTAAAAGTCAATAAAATTCTTTCAGTTTCAAATTGTGTCTTTCACAAATAATCATAGTTCGGTATATGTTGATACAAGGAGTATATGCATGAAATGAAATACATCTGTTATTTTTTTTGTAAAAAATCACGCGCATGATGGAAAAGAGACATATATATCATTCATATTTGTATTACACTTTCTAAACATACTTCTCTAGAATATTTTTTCAAAACTTCGTCGTTTCTTTGCAAAGTATCACATGATCAGAAAAACGACGTAGATTTTTTTCTAAATAAAATATGTTATTTGACGTTCTTATGCTGCACTTGAAGTTTTTATTCATATTGATTCAATCATCGAGTCACCGTGCTTTTCAGAAGATATCACAGGAGAGAAAGGACTAAGTAATACATGATTTAATCGGCTCATCAGGCGTTATATTTTTAATAAAATACAAAGCAATTTTATTATATACCATAAGATTAAAATGTTTCTCTATAAAATTAAAAGTTTTCATTCAGCATCTAAGTCATACGTCTTTTTACGTTTTAGAATTACAAGAAAATTCTCACTAGAGATAATTTTTGATATAGTATAAATTAATAATTGTAGAATTTTGAACAGATTTCGCTATTAGATCCTTTATTTTTTGCCTCAATTACATAAAAGTGCACAATGTAATTTTACAAATCGATTTTTTTCCTTTTTGTAGAGATAATTACATTTATACTGATTGTTCATTTATAAATCAATCATTAAATATTATTACGAAATAAAATTAAAACATCCTATTTCATTGTGGATCTTTCGATTTATTCGAATCATTCATGAACTGAATGATCAAGCATGTGAATCAGTAATAGAAAATTCTTTTCTTATGATCAATTATATACATATCTTCATCTATATATACGATATTGCGTGATTTACCCGTGTATATCTATGCACTCATCATAATATCTATTTTGCTTTTTATGTAATACGCACTTCGTATTGAATAATAGTCTTATGATCGCAAAAAGAACGTTCGATTGTTACAGGTGACCGAACATTATATTTATATACATGAAATAAATCGTCTTTCGACATACTCATATACGATAAAGTTCATTTCAAATTTATCTACGAAATAAAACGATACAAACAAAATGAAAACGAACTATGAATACAGTAAAAGCGTCTCCTTGCTTACTTTTTCATTATTGTATTTTATTTTGTAGATTGGAGCCAACAACAAAATGGTCGCTATCCGAATGGTGATACATCATTACATTCAGTTCATGGAGAACTTCATGCTGGACCTCATTCAATACCAGCACATACAGACAATGGAATGGATCCTGCTCAGTTGAATACGAACAATAATAATAATGACGATTCAGGTGCATTTGTTGCTGCTGGTACAGCGGGCCAACAAGGTTTTGATGTTCGTACCTTAGGTTTAAGTGAACAAGAATTAAGGGAAACAGGTTTACATCCATCATTGACGCAAAATGGTCGTCAACTTCCATTAGATCAATATAAAATAAACTATGATCCTAATCCAATTATTATTCGAAAACAAATTCCTATTGAAATGCCAACATACAAACAGCAGGTTATTGTTCGATATCGTAAGGAGAAGAAAAACACAAAGGTTGAGCGCATAAATTTTATTATTTATTTTCTTTACTTAGTTCGACCTCCAACACCACCTTCACCAGGCCCATTGATTATAAAAGAAGTTCGAGAAGCTCAACCAGCTGCAGCTCCACCACTTGTTATACGCACACGCGCACCTCGAGAAAAAACACCACCACCAATTGTTATTCGAGAAGCACCACCACAACTACCTCATATTGATACTAATCCACAATATGTCACACGTATTATTCGTAATAATGAACCATCATATTCATCTTCACTTTCTCAACAACAACAACAATATCAGCAGCAACAGCGCCAACAGTATCAACAACAACAACAACAACAACAACAATATCAACAACAGCAACAACAATATCAACAATACCAACAACGACAACAATATCAACAACAATATCAACAACAACAGCAACAATACGATTCATATGACAATGCTCCTGTGAATTATGATCAATTTAACGGTATTCAAAATGGAAATCAGTTTGCAAATGGAAATCAATTTGTAAACGAAAGTCAACATACAAATGGCAATCAATATTTAAATGGTGTAAACAATCTCGGAGAACAGCAAAATCCAGCATGGATTACGGAACTTGTATCAGATAATGGTGCAACATCGGTAGCTCCGCCTCATCTTTTAGGTATATGAAGAAAAAAAAAAGAATTCTTTTATAAGCTTCAATGATTTATCTTTATATCTAGATGATATTTATCGAGCAATTAACAACCAATTACCACGTGTATAATCGATTCAATTTTATGCTTTGTTAACGTCGTATTTTTTTCGTTTTTTGTCTTCTTCTTTCTGCGTTAGAGTTCAATGTAGAAAATTTCACGTAGTGTTCAAACAAGTTCAATAATAATAATAATAAAATAAAATATGCTAATATTTAAGCCATATGATACAATCATTTTTTATGTGATAAAAGTTCAGCGAGAAACAAAAAAAGAAATTCTTTGACATCTGCACTTATCTACTCAATATAGATGCTTTGTTGTTAATAAAGTGTATTATTGCCATTTTTATGAAGATAAAAAGACGTTGACTACGCACGTGCAGAACATAAATCGTTCATTATTCAAGATTTATCGTAGAATAACATGATCTTTTTTTCCTAAGTTCAACAAACTGCGCACCTATTATTGTTCTAGTCAACATGAATAAATGTTAAATATTTTTTCTACGCTGAAATGTCGATTCTTTTTTTTTGCTCAGTGGATGAAATTATTTGCTAAAGTTAGCAACACAGTTTTGTTTTTCAGTAGAACGTGAAAAATGGAAACTGAGTTATTACCAAATGTACGTGGAACTGTTCAATCACTTCGAAATATGTGGAGTGAAAAAGTACAAGACGAACAAAAAATATTGAAACAAAAACCACACGGATGTGGATTAAATTCACAACAACCACAGAAAAAAATAATCAAGGACGATATTAAATCTCCTGCAAGTACGGAAACAACAAACATTGACGAGCAACCAAAAATTATGGTTTATGTTGAAAGTAAGATAGTTGAAATGCATCTCTCATCAATAGAAAATCAATACTCAGATTTCAAGGAAAATAAAAGTTCTATGGTGATTTCTATAGAATATACATAAACGATATGATTTAAACGAGATGCAACTATTGACCCCAAAAAAACGTTATGAATGTTGATAATAACTTTTGATCTTAGTGAATACATCAATTACCTATTAGATTTTGTTCTAGACATGAATCTAGTTTTTCGAATTAGATATTGATAGATATGCGAGAAAACGTAACAGACGACACATCTATCGAGTAACATGATGATGCGATATATAATTGAGCAAATTTTATGTTTCTAATTTTCTCACATATCACAGAAATGTCCATTCGTCTTGTTGATTATGCCAATTTTTTCACCTATTTTAGAATCATCCGACATTGTACTAAGTGAAAAATCATCATCATCAAACAACGATGCGGACGAGATTTTATCCCTTCCTGCACCACCAACATCTGTTATTTTTCAACATCAAACACAATCACTTATTACACTTGAGCAAAGTGCTATGGAATTTTTTGATATCGATAAAACTAAAGCTCATGATAGAAACATCAAAACTGGTGGTATTCGTCATTGGCATTTAGCTCGTCACGTATTTCGAAGTGGCCTTGTATTTAGTTCATCAAGGCGTGCATCGGATAGTATTATTCCGTTATTAATGAAAACAAGAAACGCCCAATGTCGTCTTAGAGCAGAAAGTGTCGATAGTACTCAAATTCAAACACAATTTCAAAATCTAATTGATTATATTTCATATAATAATGATGAAAATATAAATTCATCAGACAAGAAAATAATCGTCAAACGTACAACATCAGATACAACTGCTTGTATACAAAGAAATAAATTAAATGATACTATTGCTCAGTATGAAACAATAATGCGTCATTTAAAAAACTATGATAAATTTACGGCAACATATCCAATATCGTCACCATCATTATTAGCAAGTAGTAAACCAACAAATAAAAAAGAAATATTGAAGAAAACGGAAGAGTATTTTCAACAAAATTCAATTAATAAATCATCAACCCGAAATACACAAACGCAATCGTTAGCAAGAAGTGCTGGACGTACATTTACAGAATTCATTATGAATGATCTTTTGTCAGCGAATACATCTAAAGCATCATCCAATGTAGAAACATTTCCTAAAATTGCTGATACTGCATCACAAACTGAATCAATACCATTAATTGAAACAGACGAATCAATTCATTCAGAAGAAACACATCAAGTTATCAAAGAATTTAATAATGCTCTTATTGAATGCGATTCCGAAATTCCAATAACTGCTAACAGTGAAATTAATGTTATTATTGTTAGTCCTGTTGATACGCTAGCGCCAGCTATTGTAAGACGAAAATACATGAGTAGATTAATGTTCATAAAAAAATAACTCTCTATTTTTAGATATTACCTGAAGAGCAGCCACTTATGCAACGTTTATTCGAAGGAAAAAAGAGTGCATATTCACCCGATGATCTTAACATGGAAACACAGCGAATACGTTTGTTGAAAGATTATGCGTTATTTTCGACTTAATTTTGTTTTCTAGCCGAAGAATTGATGAGCACATTTAAAATTGCAACGAAAAAATGTTTTCTACCATCAGAACAAATTCTAGTGAGTATTATAAATGTTTTCATCGTGAATACTTTTATTCGTTATTAGTAATCGAAAAGAAAAGCTAAGGTAGTTACTCTCTCGTTAATGATCGAATATTATTTTGTAAATATTCTCATGAAGGAACACTGGTCAAGTACTAAATCGAATGAGTTATGTTTAGAATATTGTTTGGTATAATACTTAACAATAGCTGAGTCTTCAAATTTTACAGAGATAAAAATCTCAACAGGAAGAATTTACGACGAAGCTCTGTTCACTTCTTTTTATATAACTAAATTCATGTTCTGCTTTCTAAAGAGATATTATTTCGATCATTGCTCGCTTTCATAGACTGAACTAAAGCTAAAGTATCGATGGTATTTTATATTGGAAGAATAAAGTCTAAGATAACTAGAAGAGTCGCACAGATCGTAATGTAACAATACTAGGAGCTAGATAAATATTACAAGTATCTTATGCTAATCTAATTGGATTATTTACTGTACATTCTTTCAAAATCATCTTATCAACAAAAGTAAATCTTCATGAAACTGAACATATTTAGCACGCGACACTTTTCTATCGGCGTCTCTATTTTAATATTGAAAGTCCACTCTCTAAATATAGTTTTTGAGAGAAAATAGTAAATGCTTATTTCGACATAAAATTAGTCTACGCTCTTAAAATTTCATCGAAATTCGAAATTTTCCTGTGGATAGATTATATTATCAACTACAGATCTTATTGCAACAAAAATCAATAGATTGCGAATCTATAAAAGAATAGTTTCACAATTGAAGTACTCGACAACACTTTGTACTGAATCACAATTCTTGCACTAACTCCATGTATTAAAACTAATGTCAATAGCAAATATAAACCACTAAATAATCATTGAGGTTCATTCTATTTTTTTTTCTGTGAAATAAATCGATATAATTTATTTATAGTATGCAACGAAAATGATTAAAATCGATCGTCGAGGCTACAAGCAGCGTCTTCGAATTCTATGTATAACAACGCAACGAGTTTATATAATAACAAAAAAGAATCCATATCCAAAAGAACATATTTTATTCAAAGATATGCTTGGTATTATTTGTACACCATGTAAAGATGGTTTTATATGCGTTAAAACACGAGAAATGCGTGATGATCGAGTAAAATTTAATTTCTTCCGAGAAACTTAATATCATATAGATTTACTTTTTTCTAGGGGGATTGGCTCTTTCTGGTTGATCATCCATGCGAAGTTGTGACACAGATGTTTATAGCCATGGGAAGAGATGATAATAATGATAAGTACCTCAAACTTGAATCCACGTATGAATTAAATTAACGTATGCATCGATTTTCTATCTTGTTGACATGTTTAGATTTCGACATACGCGCCGAAGCACAGGTTCTAGGAGACATTGAAAGGTTTTTTTTTAATGTCTTTTATTTAGGCACATTCAGTGACGATGGTACAATCGAAGCTCGTCCATCCGAGACATTTCGTATTGAATATGAAAATTACGAAGTTTTAGTTATCGTAAGAAAATTAAAATTTTATTCGATGAAAATATTGTTATCTTTTATTTTTATTGTTTTTAGTATACACCGTGATCAATTTGAAACTTGCTTTTTTTTCATCTAGTTGTTGTTGTTATTGCTGCAATATTATTATTTTCGCTATTTCGCGCTTCATTGAAGAAAATTAAAAAAATAATTCTGTCAATCTCAAATAAATGTTGCCATACTACATTAAGTCTTGGTGCTTTCTATAAGCACAATGTAGCGTGAACCGCTTTTTCACTACAGTCTAAATTCATGCAAGATTTAGATACGTAGATTCCACTGTTGATTAGTACCATTTATAAATATTAGGAATATCGAAGTCAAGATTGAGGAGAACACTCAATAACAAAAATACAGCATGAAAAACAAAGAAAAATATTCGTCTTGCTAGTAGACTCATAATACATACTTTCTGATTACCGTCAGATAATGCTAGAATATTCTCTGAGTGTACTTGTCAGAGCTCCGTGGGACGACCAAAATGTTGTTCCATCTCGTCTTGTAGCCCGTACTAGTTTATTCCGGCCGGTTCTCTGCCCTGTACTTTCGTGTTCAATGAAACTCATTCGTTTTACTATTTATATACTACACAACAGCGTTTATATGAAAAAATTCTCCGCCATAATGGTATCGACATAAGCAAGTCGCTGTTATAAAAAGAAAGAAAGGTGCAATAAAAGCACAAGTGAAAGTACTGTTTCTCGAGGAACCAATCTAAGAAAAACTAGATCATTAAGATTTGTTCAATTCATTGAAGACCTATACTGCATTCTGTTGAATCCTAGAGCTGACTCGCTCGGCAGTGCCAAAGTTCTTTAAAAGTTATTAGAATCCTCACAAATCAATTGAGATATATTAATTCTCACTGAAATAATACATTCATCCCAACTATAGTTTCGCTACTAGCACTGTTTTTAATAAAAAACGATAATGCGGAACCTGATGGATTCTGATGGACACTATTGAACGTTAATAAAAATGTACAATAGATTTATTAGAATCTAAGGAGAACTATTGGAACTTACTTTAATTGAATAAACTCGACAGTCTATTCTAATCCTTCAAAAGTCAACCAGTAGTGTTCAAGTTCTCAGGAGTCGGGAATTCGTTGGGAATTGGGAACTCAAAAATGAATGAACAGAAATAAGTGATGATAAACCGCAGTATAGCAACGTTATGAGGAATTCTAAGGAACTCAGGGAGGTCAGGGAGGTCACAGATATGAGGGAAATAAGAGCCTGGACTCAATTCATTCGGGTTGGACCATCAGTATATCGAGTACTATACTTAATTGGCATGATACCTAATCGCGATAATGGACATAATGGAGTGAGGGCATATCCATTGACATAATAGATATATGAGGTCACCGTGGTCAAATGCGCAAATTTTCTGTTCGGCTACGAATGAAAGGCGATATTTTAGAGTGATTGCTTATTATGTTTTGATGAATTCATACAATGAATAAAAGTGGAATTTGTGAGCTTCGGATCATTGGGCTTCGACGATAGTGGGATATAGGAGAATCATGATTGATGGTATCATTCAGTTTTCACGTGACGAAAATATTCTATCTATGAAACGTTTCTGGGTGCTTATACGGGTAGATAAATAGGTAAACCAGGTTATCTATCTATCCAGACAGCAATTGATAACGGGCAATGTCTAAATATATATCTGTTTGTTTAGCTATTCCTCTAATGGTGTTGCACCTGTTGATAATATTCACATTTACAGAGGAACACACAAACCAAGTTATGACAGTCGGTGTCGCGACAGGATTGACAGCCTCAGCGGGATTCATAATAGAAAAATTTGACAGTGGCGTTCAATTTGCCGTATTTAAGTATAGTACCCATGTGCTTGAGGTAAAATGAATTTGGTGGAAACTTGTGAAACCTATTGAATCGGTTAGTGATAATCAGGGAAAAGGCGCGAGGAATCTCTTGTAGTGGAAAGTTGTCCAGTTTGTGGGACATGATGTTATTATTACTGTGTCAAAGATATGGTTGTTCTATAACACACCAGGTTGGATGTGGGTGAATCAGTTAGAATCGCAACACCCACACCGACTCCTCACCCACATCCACTCTCGAGAATTTCATTGATCATGTCAGTGAAAGAACACAATGCATTTTCACCCGTGAATCTTTTCTTTGGAGAAAAATGTTTCCATTTCACACACTTTCAGCTCAAAATTGATCCTATCGACCGGTCAGGAAACCGTTGCTGTCCCAGTGTTCCTTGAATTCCCTGACTTCTCTGAGATGCTTCATGTGTTGTGGTTTAACATCGCTCATTGTCGCTTATTTATTTTTGAGTTCCCAATTCCCGAAGAGTTCCCGACTCCCGGGAACTTGGCCATGTCTCATATTATGACATAGCTAGATAACAACATGTTTTCTTTTCAGAGCTTGTTAACGTGGATGTATGGTTAAAACGAAAAAACTCTAGCTGTACATTGCATCAATGCCATGCTTTGTCATTATTATTAATTTCAACGACTCGATCTGTATTTCTAAATTATGTCATTGATTCATTCGTCAACGAATTTGTTTTCTCTGACAGAGTAACTGACGATACAAAAAACACCTATGAATGACGAAAAAATTTTAGAAAAAAATATGCATCAGTTCTTTTCTGCAATAATGACACAAAATAAGAGTGAAGTTGTGAAATTCTCTTATTATAGGTAGTGAATAGCTGTCGAAAACACGATATATTTCTCTATGGTTAATGATGCATAAATTTATCAAACAGCATCCCAATCACCTGTTTTTTGTGTTCCTTTTGCCTGTAAAGACAGTGTAACCAAGAACATACAATATTTTCAATTAACATCACGTATTTGACTTCAACATTGTTCGAATATTACAAAAGGCATGCAAATAGGATAGAAAAGTTTCTTAGTATCAGCTAGTTTCAGTGTTTCTTTGAAGTTTCACATATTTTTAATAAGATTTTCATTTTAATCATTATATCAAAACTAGGATTACTATTAAAAATCTATTGTTATTTCTTTCAGAATTTATTATTCCATACAAGATGATCAAAACCTATGATAGCTACCCTAATTCACTCTCCCCCGACGATTTCACGGTGACTTTTCATTTGGGGGACTCCCCGGGGATTTCTCTGGGGAGAATCGGTGAAATTTTTCAAAATAAAAAAACTTTTTAATTTTTTTAAATTTTAAAAAATTAAGAAGAATTTACTAGTAATTAGATATTTCATCCATTTTCTCCAGACAACTCCCCAGGAATTCCCTGGGGATTCTTCTAGGGAGAGTTGACTGGGGTATAAAAAAAATTAAACCATTTAATTTGAAACTATAAAAATCAATCATAAAAACTATTTTCCTTCTGTATTTCATGAATGAATATTATTATCCATCCACACTTTTTTCAGTTCTAGCTGAATAATTTCGTCGATAAAAATGGAACTAAACAATACAAGAGCTCCACCGCAAGAACAAATTCTTGCTAATTTTCAAGTAAGTCGTTTATTGTCATTGTTGGTTTTTATCTAATTTTTAGTCATTTTAGGCTGTAACTAGTATGAATGTTGATGACTCAATTAAATTTCTTATTAGATACAATTGGAACTTAAAAGTAAGTTAGATAAATCATCATCATTATCTTACAAACTGAAAGATCCAGAATAATCAATTTCGATGCTTCTAAAAAAGATCTCATTTTGAAACTTATTCCTATCTTCAAATGAATCAGTTAGTTTTATATTTTCAGGATGCACTCGAACAGCTATACCGAGAAACGGGTGAAGGTTTATTTTCTTTTATTGTTCTTTTCTTATGTTAAAACATTTTTTTAGGTAGTCGAACATTAACCAGTCTATGTATTACGCAACACAACGATCGACATCTTGCTGAAACCATTCAAAACAGAGAAATTAGTTTAGGAGTCGAGCAGGTAAAATACTGCTTAAATATCTGATCAAGAATAGAATATAATCATGTCTGTTTTGACCTTTATTAGAACATATCCAATATTGTTGTGATGGGTAAAGCCAAACGGATTGCTATTGTTGCTCACAATAATAAGAAAAACGAAATGATTGAATGTCTGCGACCATATCGCAATATATTGGCTGACCACAAATTGTATGGTACCGGTACAACTGGAGCATTAGTAGAAAAAGAACTGGGATTATCTGTATCTAAATTTGAAAGTGGTCCTCTAGGTGGCGATCAACAGCTAGGTGCAAAAATCACTGCACGAGAGCTTGATATTCTTCTTTTCTTAATTGATCCATTGGATAATCATGTGCATCATGCCGATGTAGCAGCACTTCTTCGTTTAGCTCAAGTTTATGGTATTGTCTGTGGTATAACTGCTGCTAGCATCGATTTTATACTAAGCTCAACAAAGATGAATCAACGTCATGAACGACAAATAAATTTAGATCAATCATTGAATAAAAAATAAAAGCTCATTTAATATTGAGTTAGTTTGTATTATCATTAGCATAGGTAATGATTTAATCAACCATTTTTTTCTTGTATACAGATTTTACGTTTAATAAATTACACGAACATCATCTATCATACTGTTTATTGTTATCGAAGAAAAAATGAATAATTGGTTCATTATTGAAATTAAAGTATCAGTAACTAATTTAGTTTCTCATGGGTATGGGGTGCTAAAGCTACCACGATTAGTCATAGCCTTTAAAATATTCTGATGAAACAGTGAAATGATTATCTAGCAATGTAGACACAGGTTGTTTAACCAAATCAAGGTCGAGAAAACATTTGAATGGAGCTAGCACTAGAGACCGTCACTGAGCGATTTTTGCAGTTATTATAAGTTCTAAAATCTTGATAATTGTTAGTTAATTGCGTTAAGTATCCGTAGTTTATAAGTCATTATATGAAAGAATGTCACAATCAAATTTGGTAAAGAGAAATTCATTTTCTATGGGATTCTTCTCTGCTTAAAAATTGATGAGACTTTCGCTATTTCAATCAGCTTAATTTTTATCGTGGTATAGGTGAAACACATTCCTGTGGAGGTTTAATTTAAAAAAATAAGAACTGATAAAAAAAACTCTTCACACCTGTTCACTCGCATGATGAACAACGATGACTTCTGTTTTAGAAATTCATATTGATGTCCTAAAATGTTTCAAATCTAGTAAAATCAGCTGAATTCCTAGCAAAGATTTCGACGATCTCTGGCACCAGCAGGATCAGTAGATTTGGACATGAATTCAATTTTTTCAGTTTCAATATGCCACCTATTCCGCAAAATGACACTTAATTATACACGTCTCGATATCTTTCGACATCTATCGCCAGTGCATGTTGAGCGATCAGCATGGCAAGAAATTTGCATTGGACTGGACATATATTCTCTCACATGGTAATATTGTTGAATCATATATTTTTTCTTGCTTTTTGTCTTTTTTGAAACGAACTGACATCAACGATTTCGCTTTAATCAATCGCGCGATGAAATTTATTTTATTTTAAACCAAGAATTAAACATTTGTACAAAATTTAAAAAAGCTATTTTTTTACGGATGTTTTCGAATGTATTCAAGTTTATCTAATTGGTTTAGCCAATTGTTCAGTATGGAAAGTGAACCAAATAGAACACAACATGATTATCAACATGCTGTTGAATGTTTACGTCAGGCATTGGAATCCGATGAAAAATCAAGTAGATTTCTTTTCCAATATCCGTTTCTGTTCATTTTTGTGTTCGTCAATTTAGAAAATCCTCAAGTGACTATTTCATTATACCAAAAAGGCATCGATGAATTAGAAAAAGCAATAAATTTAAACGTGGATCCAAATGGTAATTACATTCATTCTAGTTGTTATTCATATTATTTATTTTACTTATAGATAATCGTGCTGTAGAATTATGTGCAAAGATGCGGAGAAATCTAGCTATGGCTCGGGAACGAGTACAAGTTTTACGTAAGTCTATGATTTAGTATCGAGATACATATTGTTGGTTTCGTAAATTCGTTCAATTTTGAAAATTTTTACAAGAATTTCTGCTACGATTCGATCGATCATAGTGAATGGCAAAAATCCAGTAAAATATTCATAGGTCATCATGATCATTTGAATGACAGTAGTTTCAGGATGAAAGTGGTTCGAAATTCAGTCTTTATCTAAATATTTTGTAAATCAAACTTAGTGTACAAAACGACCTTGTAGCTGTACGTCGTTCAGTAAAGAGAGAATTAATGAGCATGCTTACTCATTTTAGTTTTTTCCCATAACGATATAAAATCTTATTTTCAGAAAAATCAATTAAAAAAGAGCCCACACCATTGGCTAAAGCGCATATCCTACCAACTAAAATGAATCATCCGACACTACCACGCAATACTTCTTCAGCAGCATCAGTAAGTAGCACGTGTGCTTTTGCCATAGAGATACTATGAACAGCTCATACTATCTGTTTGTATTGCTAGTCTGCTTCACCTGATTGTCGCTCTCGTGTTGCCTCATCGACTTCTGCTTCATGCTCACCAACACGTATAACACCTAAATGTAAACAACCACCTTCAAAATTAGTCTATGTAAACAAGAATGATTTCATTTAACATCTCCAATATATGTATTAATGAAATTATTATTTCTAGAATCGAAAAAAAGAACCATCAGCAATAACCAATGATAAGAGAGTACCGGTTCAAACTCCAAATCAACGAATATCACTGAAATTACCGAACGTTGACCCTAAACTTGTTTCATATATTCTTGATGAAGTTATCGAAAATAGACCACATGTCAAATTCAATGACATCAGTAAGTTATTTTGATTGAGAGGAAAATTTTTAAAAACACATTAGCTTAGAGAGAAAAAAAAACTTTATTTATAACACGTGTCGCAAATAAAATCATTCTATGTGAACGAAAATTGCTCTTCGAACCAATTTTAAGTATGCTGACACAGTTGATTCATTAGAGTTATAAACTATCAATTGTACGAACAGCTCGACGTTAAAAATCAAAATATAGTTAGCTCTTTTGACTAAAGTAGCACTCACAAAGTCTACGTTAGACCGGATTTCTGTGATCGAAAAATTCCCAGAGATAAACATAGCCTACCTTTTAATTAGATCTGCAATCACATATATATATATAAATCCTTTAACATCATGTTAATGAAATTATAACTGCTAGACATTCGTAGTTTTATTGTTTACAAGAAATCGAGATTGTAATTTGTCTGCAGACAACTTGACTTCGTTACTCGCTCTTCGAGTCAATACCGTTAATAAATTCTATCATAATTAAAATTGATCGCAATTTTAAACGATTCGTTTACTTTCAGGTGGTCAAGAAGGAGCTAAACGAGCACTTGAAGAAGCTGTTATTCTACCTGTTCTTCGACCAGAAGTAAATTTAGAAAAAGAAAGAAAAGAAGTTGTCATTCATCTTCTTCTTTCATCATAGTTATTCACTGGTTTACGTGCACCTGTACGTGGTATTCTATTGTTTGGGCCACCCGGTAATGGTAAAACAATGCTGGTAATTAAAAATCGACATATATTATGATTAATCGAATTATTTCTTTATATAACTAGGCGAAAGCTGTAGCTTCCGAAGCACAAGCTCGATTCTTCAATATAAGTGCATCAAGTTTGACGTCAAAATATGTCTGTATCGTATTCATCTGTGCCTTTTTGTATCTATATTAGCTTTGATTTCTTCTATTAGCTCGGCGAAGGAGAAAAATTAGTTCGCGCTTTATTTGCTGCTGCACGCGAGTTACAACCATCGATTATCTTTATTGGTGGGTTCATATTTGTTCTCTTTTATTGTATCGTCATTTATCATCTTATTCATAGATGAAGTGGATTCATTACTTACGACACGTAGAGAATCGGAACATGATGCAATGCGTCGACTCAAAACGGAATTTCTCATTCAATTTGATGGTGTAAGAGAAAATTACCTTCAGTAAAACAACAAATTCAAGTTCGTAATTAATGCTTTTTATAGGTTCAAACAAATAGTGATGATCGTATTCTCGTTCTTGCTGCAACCAATCGTCCATTTGAATTAGATGATGCAGCATTACGGTATAATAGAAACGAAAATGGGATAAAGAATATATTCTGTAAGATTCTTTTTCATTTTCAAGACGTTTTCCTCGTCGTATCTACATTCAACTACCGGATAAAAAAACTCGCCAACAACTCTTAAGAAATCTACTTGCTAAACAAGAACATAATTTGACGGGCAATGATTTTAATTTAATTGCCAAGTAAGAAGAGATGAATTAGTTTCGTAATTGTAACAAAAATAAAATTCTTTTTAAGTGAAACTGATGGTTACTCAGGCAGTGATTTAACTGCTTTGGCAAAAGATGCTGCGATGGGTCCAGTACGTGAACTACGTGTTGAAGAACTGAAAGAATTATCAGTTAGTCGTATTCGAGCAATATCAAAACAAGATTTTGGTCTAGCATTAAGAAAAATTCGAGCAAGTGTATCACCATCAACTCTTGATAAGTATATTCAATGGAATTCAACATTCGGTGATTGTAGTTCATAGAAATAAATTATTATCTTTCTGTATTATTTTACTACATGTATAATAATTGTTTTCTTTTTTTTTTTTTTTTTATAAATAACTATCATCTTTATTATTTTTTTTCCACTTTTTCTATTGTATTTGATCACGTGTTAAAATATTGAACTGACGTCTCATTTGCATGTGTTCAGAAGAAAGAATATAAGCAAAGGATTTATTTTTTTTCCTTTTTGGTTAACTATTCGACCTGATTTTCTATTCGGACGAAACAGATAGGTAATGTGTAATCTTTTGTATGATGTCTATAAATAAATAAATATATATATATATAAACGTATATGTCTTTCGACGCCACATAACACAATGACAACGAGATCGAATGTAGTGCAATATGACTTTGATCAACAAATTGCAATGACACCGACCTAGTCACATTGGTTGTTCGTATTTTTTTCTTCTTCTAATAAAATATTTACCCAATGCTTCAAAAAACAGAAAGACAAAATCAAGCAGATATATATATACACAGATGATAGAGAAAAACAATAGCTAATTACATCATTGATAATGATTATGATCTATTCTTATGGCGCAAGCGCCCTTTTCCCCAGCTCGGTATGAGAATATTTTCTTTTCCTTCAACTCAACATCTGTTAATTCTACTGCTGTTCATTTGCAGAGCAAATTCGCTTACCTATATACAAATGATATGGCGAATAGTAACTTCTTTTTACAACTCTTTTGAAAAAATAAATATATACATATGGCATACATCGACACAAAGAATATATGCAAGTAAAGTGGATTGTAACAGAGTAAAAAGGAATGAGACAGAAGCGAGAGGGAGAGAGAGAAAGAGAAAAGGAGGTAGAGACAAGAGAGAGCATGCAGCATTTACCGTTGCGAGCGTCAATCGAATCGAAAAAAGAAAGAGAATAGCATACCTGTACACACTCTTACCATCAGGGCATAAGCAAGAGGAGCAATTGAAATAAAATAAAAAAGGAGAAAATATATATATATATATATATATGCACATCGTCGTAGCGACGACAATAACAACGATCATGCAGGGTCTCAATATAAAACTCTTCTTTGCCTTACACACAACAAAGAAAAAAAAAACATATGCATGAGAACTCGTCTTCATCGTCGTTTTTTTCTGCTACTGTGCATACGGTAGAGAAAAAAGGATGGATACACATAAGAAAAAGAAAAAAAGGCGAAGAAAAGAAAATATCGACATATGTATACATATATATATATCTATGCGTATATTTCTCGTTTGTATGTGCGAGTGTACAACTGGTTTCCTAGCTTATGATATTTCTGACATATAGATTCAGCTCAAGGTGTAGAAAAAGCAAAGAGCGAAGAAGCGTATTAGAAGCGATTACAATAACTAACTATATAGATATCGATCCTACACATATATATATATATATATATATATAATATCTTTTACCTCAATTAAAGACAAACAAGAAGTCCTATGATAATTACCTATATGAACATGTACATATATATGTCCAACTTTCTTTCACATACCTTCCAAACGAATGACTGAGCTTTATGTTCGTATGTTAAAATGAAATATATTTCACCACTCTCTTTCTCTCTTTCTTCTAATTATAGTAGCTCTTTCTATTTTTTTCTCTCTCTCTCTCTCTCTGTCTCTGTCTCTACGTATGCACAAACAGACATAACACTTCAACTGTAGCGAACAGGTAATAAGAAGACTTTGAAATTTTTTTTACCTCTTAGAAAAGACTGTCACATTCGAGTACCTTTCTCTTGTATGCTCTCTCTTTTTCTTTGTCTCTTTGTAATCAAACAAAGGAAGAAAGATTGATTTTTCTGCCGCACAGAAAATGCCATAATGGTACTTCTCAATCTTTTTCTCTTTCTCTCTCTTTAACTTAATTGAACTATGTAAACAAAGTGAACTAAAAGAATCCATGCCGTTGCCAATGATACACAAATGAAATCAGCCTGTAAGGCAAGTCGCGTATTTTATTTATGTTTCATATAGCTACGAAATGGAATCATCGATTTTATGTCGAAAGTAGAAAGCTCTCTTGAGTATAAAAAAAATGAATACTTAAAAAACACATATTGAATGAAATTATGAGTACGATGAGAGTTGATTTTTAATTGATCGAAGAAAAATGATGATTCCATAGAAATTAGTAGAACGACAAAAGAAAGGATTTATTTCATCAATAAATGTACACTGGTCTTCTTCGTCTTTTTTTTTCTTGACAATGCAAAACAAATATACTAGCTCATTCTTTGACAAATTATTTATGTTGAACAAATATTTCGTGAAATATCTAGATAAAACAAAGCAATAGAATACTTATAATAAGACTTTATTAGCAGACTAACGGAAGCGAGTTCAATTTTAGCTATTAAATAAGTTTCGCATCTTTGTTACCGATTAATTTTTATGAAAAAAAAAGAGGATGAAAACGATACGCAAAACGTGATCGAATCCACGATGTAATTGTATACTCGACAGTTAATACTAAGGTTTTATTTCGTAATAAGGGAATCCATAAGAAAGTTTTATTGCTTGGATTCCTAACTAAATTGGATGAAGCTGATTCGAAAGTAAAAGTGAACTAGATTTCGTTTCATTTTAAAATTACAAAATCTTTTTTTGTCATATTTGAAAGCAAAACCATATTCTTTTATTTACTTAGTTTATTGAACTTTTTTTTTTCTTGTTTCAGAAAGTCTTCTCCTACCGTGATGATAAAAGATTCTGTAATTACTATTTTGCTTCTAATCAAACATTTGAAAAAGTGATTTTTTGAAAAATTCATAGGCTTACAAACAAAAAATGTCTATTTATATCCTTTGGAAGATATCTAGGATCATTTTAATACTATTAACATTACATAGGCAATTACTTCATTTTCATTATAAACGTGAATATGTGATAAAATCAAATTAATTGCCGAAAATAAATCATGCACAATCAGCCAGTTCAATGGAAGTTACGTTGAACTCAATGCCATCGCGGTTTAGCATTCTTTACATTCTATTTAGATATTTTATTTCATTTCTGCAATAGATCCTTCAATGAATAGAAAGCTTTTCTTTCTCCCTCGTTCCTTCATTAGCATAGAGGTGTGGAAAGAAAATTTTGTAATGCCATGCACACGCTTCATTTTCAATAGTTTTCATTGTCAGCATGCAACAACGCGCAAAGGTTACTATCGCCGACAATGATGATGACGATGGCGACGATGATGATGATGCGAAACAAGAAATCTCTGATACTGTTGAAAAATTCGTTCAAACTCGTCATGTACAAACGTTAAAATACTTGCGGCATGTTATCGATGAGAATCGTCATTTAAGATTACATATTGAACATCTTAAAAGACGTCAAGATTATCCTGTACAGTCACCTGCTGTTGTCGATCCCATCGACCCTGAAGATCCTTCAATAACTGAAATACCACCGGAATCACCTGAGGTAGATAAAACTAGTTATTTCATTTTTTTTTGTTATGTCTGAACAAATTCCTTTTAAAAGCCTCTATTAGATCGCGAACGTTCTGATGCATCGACAAATACCGAAGGTGAAGATTTCGAAAAAAGATGTCATGAATTAAAAGATGAATTGATCAATGTGAAAAAACAACATGCGATCAGTCGTGATGAATTTCAACGTGAACTCGAACGTGTCGATCGTCACAATACTCAATTAGAAAAAGATCTGAAAGTTTCGCAACATCAATTAGTTATTACTCAAAAATCTCTTAATGATAAACAAATAGAAAATCAAACTCTTACATCGACATTAGCAGATGAAAAACTATTGAATGATGCAGCAAATTTTCGTATCAGTAAACTCGATCAAGCGAACAAAATCTTAACACAATCACTAGCTGAATCAGAACAAGCATGCGGTGAACTTGAATTGCAGTTGGAAGAACTACAAGAAACATATCAACAAACAGAGCAAAGTCTATCGACATTACAACTTGAACATAAAAATAAACAAACATATATCAATACAGTTGAAAAAGAAGTTGCATCTTTAAAAGAGAAACTTGATGTTCAACTAAACCAAAATCAAGAATTAACTATGGATAATAAAGAACTGCAAGATAATATTATTTTCTGTCAACAACAAATTCAAGAAAAAATCATTCAAGAAGAAAAATATATTCGAGAAAAACAAGCAAATAGTAATTTCAAAGAATTTGTACAAGTGAAACGAACACTACAAACGTGTCAACAAGAAAATGAACAATTAAAAATTGAATTAAAAAGACTTCAAGTTAAATTTTTAAGTAAAAATGAATAATTTTGTACTAAAAAGATATTAGTAGATATTCAATTTCAAAGGTACTAACCAAATAGATGGTGCAAACATTCGATAGAAGTCAATCTATACTTGAGTATCAGTAAAAAAAGTTCAAAAAAACTTTACTGATTGTAATCATGAAACAAATTTTTCGCTCTCTAGAGCTAATCATATCTAATGCATAATATATGATCGATAGGGGAAATTAATATCGAAGATTTTCTTATCACTAGTATAAACTAGAGATAGTCAAAATTCAATTTATAGTTATTCAAACTGATATTAACTACAGATCGATTGTGGAATGTGTACTGTTGGCGTAAATATCAACATAGTATCAATAAGAGTCATTGTTACGGAATCCATTAGTGCACTGATTAAAACGACAGGCGCGCTTGTTATGATGACCTTGGAATAATAATTTTATCACAATATACCCTTTTGTACAGCGATGTGTTCTAATAGTTCAGTGGTCATTAAACTGTAAACTGCTAGTATCTTGTTCGATGCTAAGTTTACGCAGTGTAAAATAGTAGTTGGATATGTATGTGAAACAAGAATGGCAAATAAAACTATTGATACATTTGCTGTTATTTCTTGGCCTAAGAAAATCAGAATACAAACAAAACAGTGCTATCCATTAGAAAGATACAGAAAAGCATTTACGTCATAATCAATTTAACCGGAGCTAATACAATATCAATATCTTTCTCGGTTCTAACAGAAATGAAGTAAAAATAAATAATAAAAATGTTGATTTATACGCATAGAATTGTTCTCTTCATGTAAAAGAAAACTCATATCTCTCTGTTATACTCGTGTGAATACGTGTTTTCAGAAAAATCATATTTTATAGATTTCTCAGAATATCAGAAAGATGTGGATATTACTGTAGCTATTTTATCGTTGAAATAAAAATATCCGTTTAAGATTAGTTCATTCCAGTACGAACGAAATATTTTGTTTATGTTGGTGCAAATTCTACGTCATAGGGATTTCTTGAGAACTTGTCATCAATTTGATTGTCACATGAGTATAGAGCGATAGATGTCACTGTAATTAGATTACTCATCGATTGCTCATGATGTAAATGGTTTAAAAAAGAAACCATTGCATGCAAAGACGGTGTATATATATTTATCGGAAATGCGAAATTGTTACAGTAATCATAAATTAAACATTTTATAAGCAAACCATGAGTACTAACTCCACAGCGTCTGTGGAGAACAAACCACGGAAGATGACAGTCGAAGAGTATTCCGAACTAGTAGCCAAATGGCAGCAAGCATACTATACATGGAATAGCAGTTATCTTACTTATTTTAAGTAAAATATTATTTTGTTTTTATAAATAAAAATTTTGATTTTGTTCTTTCGTAAAGCACAATGGTAATGAATACATTTGTTCAACAAATATCCATGTTAACGGGTGCTAATATTATTACAATGACTACTGAGCCAGTACCTGTTGATCCTGTGGGAGATATACGAAATAGTAAGAATAGTTGATGTCTGTATGACGAAATAATATTTTTTTGGGGGGGGGGGGGGGGGGGGGGGGGGGGGGGGGGGGGGGGGGGGGGGGGGGGGGGGGGGGGGGGGGGGGGGGGGGGGGGGGGGGGGGGGGGGGGGGGGGGG